CAACAGAAATCTTTCAGATGACCGAGAAAGAGCACTGGGGGAACCACTTCCTCCTACTTGAAACTCGTTAGTTGCGTGTAATCCTTCCTTCATTGTTGGGAATCGGATTGGGANAGCTTGGTTTTAATATAATCCTGAATCATTATCGCAATTATAAAATGCAATCAGGTCTTGAATAGTTCGTACCTTTCGGGCAACTGAAAAAGGGTAACACTATAAAGATTGCTATATTTTGAGAAAACAGATCTACTCATTAGCACAGCAGTAGATTTGTTGAAATTAAAAAACGGTTTATTAAACGGGGTTTTCACATTAACTGAAAGAAGGAAAAATAATAATAAATACATAATATTTACATGGAAGATACACCTACGCCAACTATGACAAGATGGATAAAAAACCGCTGGTGAATTTTGAGCGATGTGTTTTTCGCCCTTTTTGATGAATCCTATAATAAGCAAGCATTATTTTACTTATTAGTGATTCCATTATACAATATACTGTGTTAATACCTTGTCAAAATAAATGGATGTTTCCATTCGATTCACATTCAATAACCTATCCCGCATCAGCATCCCACAGATCCATCAAAACAATTTACCTGCCGCGAATGCAACGATGTGGTGGTCAAGCAACGAGCTCGAACGGTGGTACGCACGGACCACAATACTGTTTCCAGACAGCCAATTAGAAGGCAAAGATTCCGATCAATCATAATCGGATTGGGCAAACACAGGAAAGCTAAATAATTGACCATATTATTAGTATACGGACTAGTAATCGAATACTGCGAATTCGGATCCGGATTGAAAACTGAGTAGGAGAGCAAAGCCAGGTAAAACTAAGACCAACTATGGATACAACCAATTCTGTTGAGAAAAGCAATCCACTAAATGTCACCAGTGTCAATGACACATTAATTCGCTAACAAACCGGTATCGAGATGGTCCGTTTGCTAATTTTTCTGAAAACACGTACCCCGAACCGCCAGATTGGTTGGAATCGCCGTCTAACGGTTGTCTGTGTTGGATCAGTGTCTCGGTGCGTGCAGTGCATACTACCTTCTGCTCTCGCTGGCCGATCATCACAAACGTGTACCCTATGGGCATTATATATCGATGCAGAATTTACGATAGCCGGTTAAATCAAAACGGGAAACAAATGGATCCGGGTCGTAGAATTCGGAGACGTCCCTCTGTGAGTTTTCGGGGTAAAGTTACCCTTTTCTAGCATAGAATTTCGATTACCGGTAAAGAGGTGTGGATTATGAAAACAGGAACTCCTGGGATATATCTTGTCACAGGATTCAATCAGAGAGCAACAGGTAGCTGAAAAATTTTTATTGATTCATTTTATTTCATCAAGAAAAAGACAGATCATTCATCCTGTGGGGTAAGAGTACCAATTTTGCTAAATTAAACATAGCCAAATACAAAGCGTCAAAGTCGTCAAAAGAACCAAATACATCACAAAGAACAACATCTATATGCTTCATAAAGTCAGCGGAAAAATAAGTTGAAATTTCCGGAATCTTGTCTGAGGTACAGGTAGAGGGGATATAATGTCGACGGTGGTGGTCCGGTGGTAAAAGCACCAAATTATCACCCTGGGGATGTGTTCGAATCACACCACCACCGCCTGACTTTCCCCATTGTGTTGCATGGTAGCCCTTTGATTGGCCGATTCCCCCTTCCTGAAACTTGTGTTGTTGTATATTCAATAAAACGAAGTAAAATGAAATGAAAAGAAACTTGATTGAAGCTGTAACAGACTGTTTGTTGCTCATGTATTTGGGTCAGAAATGAATAACGGAAGCGTTATTCTAGACCGTGGTGGATTGTGGCATCTTAATGATACGTAATAACATCATCATCGTGACTATGAGACAGGAGGTGACGATCGAGCTGCCAGCCAGTGAAGACATCAAAATTGGGGATTTTGCTCATGTACAGCCGGGTATCCCAAGAGGGGAAGATAAATCCGAGTTGGGAACATTCACGATGTCGAAAGAGGTCGCTGAATTGGACGAGATTCCCAAGCAGCTAACGGGTATCATAAAGCAAAATAATAGTGATACGATGTACGCGACGCTGTTAGGAGATTTCGTTTGCATTTATTTGAAACAGATCTGCTGTGGTGAGTCAACTTTCCAGATGACGCCAGCCAAGCGCCTAGGCGCTCCATTTTCTGGACGTTGGACCATGGACCAACAGTACCGATTAATCAACAACCATACAGTTCAAACAGAATCCGTGGGACTCGAAGAACGAGAACGGTGATTGGTTGATATCCGTTTGTCCAATGGTATTTCTATTTGTATTTTAGGTAATCCGATTGATTTCTTCTATAAATGAATCACTACTTTTGTGGTCAATTTCCAGCGTCTCGGTGGCGGGAGGTTCCAACGTGCGATTCACTGTTTCAGTTACGTCCGTGATCCGTGATTCGTAATCCGTAACTAATTCAAAAACAACAACTTCCGGAGTGAGAATTATAAGCCGCAGAGAGACTTTGCACGGATATTTCTCGAGAGATGTCATTTAATCGTGCACTGACCATAATTGTGGCAACACGCAACACTATTTCATGCCACTAAACAAAAAAAAGTGATATTTTAACATAATACAACAAACCGTTTGAAAAGAATTTTGGAAAGCATTGCATACTTCAAGGGCCCCACCAGGGTTAACATTTGATGGATTGGAGTGCTGATCGAGAAATTGTATATGTTGTGAGAAACAACCGAGAATTTGAAGAGAAACACAAATGCGTCTTCTCAACCCTCATGGTGGGCAAGCTAATCTAACTAGTGATAAATATGAAGGTAGTGAGATTCGGAGTGCGACATTATTTTCGGACTTTTACAAACCACATCCAGAAGAGAAAACGCTACCCTGACAAAAAAAAAATACTCGCATAGTTCAACTTACTCCGGTTTTCTCTGTTCGTGATGAGGCTGCACTTCGGGGAACCGGTCCGTTTGATATGTTCCAGGTCCTGGCATCGAATCCTATCAACACAGACAATGGAAGAAAGGAACAATCAACCCGTTGGAAATCGATTTGATGCGCTACTCACCCTTGCTGGTGGAGTGAATACATGTCTTTTCGAGGTTGATTGAAACACCGCCAGTGTCGTGTCGCCGTGATGTGTTAATTTTCGCATAGACACATCCACATCGTATGCACCTAAGTAGCGAGACAGAGAGTGGGAGGGAGTTGGACAGTTGTTTTACTCTGTTCTACGGTTGATATTCATCACTACCACATAGAACACCAGTGATTGTAAAGCGACCAAAAGAAGAGGTATCTACAACCTGTTTGCCAGTTTGTCTGTGTGTGGCCAGGAGAGGGGGCTAGGGAAGGTTGCTAAGAAAATTAGAAGTACAACTATGGGGCGGCTGGTAGCAGAAATCAGATCGGTCGAACAGGTTGTACGAGTTCGAGTTCAGACGGAGAGTGAGGTGTGTGAAACGATTCCCCATGTATACAAAGAGAAAAACACTATGATGCATTCATTACCAGTCTGCACAATCGTCAAACAGAAGACCAGAACACTCCATTCACAAACCCATTCAACCATCCAGAACTGTGCTCACAATTCCCAAAGTAGGATGATTCGCCACAGTTGGACCTGATGTCTGTAAACATTACTTTACTGACCTTCATCCACCTTTGGTACTTATTGCTGTGTCTCTGGTGGTCTTCAATCTTCTCTGGCAAGCGAAGGCTATAATGAAGGGTATTTGTGTATCCGCGATAGAATCACCTGGTAACCTCATCATCCTAAAACGGGTATGGTCCTCTCCTTTTCAGAACTCCGATTAGCATGGATTTTGGACAACTTTGATCTAAGAATGCGACAACCGCCACCGATAAAGATTCATTGGACGAGGGAATGCAGCCGGCCGTGTCACAGGAAAGGAACAGAATTGCCTACGATCGTGTGGCTCGATGAAACAAGGTTTCATGTACGAATGATGAATGGTTCAGTGAGAATCTGGTGTTCAAGGGAACCGGGATGCACAAAAGAATGAGCTTACTGATATGAACGATGTATCAATAAGAAGATTTCATTCTGTCAATTCACGAAAACTGTTTCACA